TCAATAATCATACATATTTCTCTTAAACTATAGCTTTAATACCAACTTGTAACACCCTAAAAAGTAAACATAATACCAACTTAGAAAACTATGAATTTTCATAGAGTAAACTGTGGCCTAAACCCTCGTAAGGAAAGTTAGCTAATTAAGCACAACAATAAGTAATGAAATATAAATAACAACTTAATAATCTAATCCTAAAGTAAACTAGATTACAGTCAGGTATTACTATATCTCTAAAAATCCAACTTCAAAACCCAAGTGTTTCCCAAAAGTCTCTATTCTTGATGCTTTTAAGTAGCACCATCCAAGCTCCTCATGCGGTCCTAGATCCGCCACAAGTGGGACCTGGAATTCATATTCACAAGAAAAGTGTTAGGCTTCGCCTAGTATGCTCACACAAATTTAACTTGAAATATTAATATGGAAAGTAAATCAAAAGATGTTACCCAAAACCGCAAAAGTGGTGCAACTCATGCATTATAATAAGTTGTCTCAACCTGGACAATATACACACGAAACATCTTCCGAATGGCGGGAGACCTGTTTCCATCAAAGTGGCGGAAACACGAAAGTATTGTCACATAATGATGTTATTGGGTTACACCTTAAATTCATGGTTTTAGTGCACTCCCATTCATTTTGTCAACTCAAATCCTCATATATATTTAGTGTTTACTTCAAAGAGTTTCACCTCAAGGACTCTTGAACCTTAGTGCCCACCAATTTCTGTAGTCAAGTTTCACCTCAAGAATCTAATTTAACCTTTAGTGTCTACTTACTAGTAATTCATAAACGAGTCAATATAACACAATTGACTTAGTAACTCACCTAATCCTCATGTATAAGGATTCATATACATTTTCACCAAGTTTGAACCTTTATAAACATGTATCTCACATAAGCATTCTAACATTTGCACATGATCCATTTGCCACCGCATAACCCCTCCTTTATACCAATATATCATATGGGGTGGTAATACCCAAGATAAGACTCATAAACATTATTTTAGCAACAACGTAGTATGAAACCTCCAATGAAATCTTTAGTGCATATATTGATCAATAATATCAACCAGCTCTAAGTTTACATTTTAGGTTAAACATTAGCCATAGTCAAATAAAGTTAGGTTAAACCAAATAATCGTTATCAAGTGTCACATAGATGGAAAATAACAAGTTTAGACATAATCAAAGTTTGTAAACGAAATATGAACTCACTTGCTAGGTTTTTAAAGAAACCCTAGGAAAACCAAGCAAAATATCAAAAGGTGAGGATGAAAACCAAAGGCTTGACTCATTCACAAGTAACCTCAGCTACTGTTTCCCAAACCATCGATCTCCTTTTGCCTGGCAACCTTCGAGTGCGACTTTCCCCACGGCTTAGGCGGCCCGGGAAGTCGCTCGAGCCAACTAAATGGCCTGATTTGACCAGTATTGATTTCTAATTAGCCTAACTAGCCCGACATCCAATAACCGTACTTGAACCTTAAAATTTAACTTTAAACATCAAATTAAATGGAAAAATCAAAAGTTCCAAAATACCAAAACCTTATTGTTAGGTTTATATTTTGTTTGTAATAAAGTAGAGAGATCAAAAATATAAATATCTTCAAGGTATTTATAGCTCCCTAGTCTCTAGAGTAGGTCAATTCTTTATTGTATTATCAGCTTATTATTGAGAAGCGCCACCAAAGGCAAAACCAGTAGTTTGTATTCTATATTTTGAATCTATAGAAGCCGATTGATTTGTTATTTCCATTGTGTTAATGTTACATTATTGTTTCTTGTAATCATCTGGGTAAACAACAATTGATATCAGAGCAGAAGATCAACATTGGAAGAAGACTCGACCTCATTTCTTGGAAAACCACATCTGTGAGTTCTTGTTCATTGTTTTATTGGCTTTCATCCAGTTACGGGTTATATCTCGAGAATTAAAGTTGTAAGGCTTTGATTTTCGAGCCTATATATCCTTAACTGAAAGATTCTGGACTATATTTGTGAAATTTTGAAATCTGCCAAAAACCTTAAGAACTGCCAAGTCATTGCATCCTTATTATACATTGTCATTGCATAGTTGTGTGCGACAACTAGGTTTTATTGCATCACTTTGATGCGACAACTTCTTGTTATCGCATAAGGTTGACCCGAAAACCTAGACTTATCACATGAGCTTGACCCGATAAAACTCATTCATCGCATCAGTTTGATCCGGCATAAACACTTTATCGCATCCTTTATATGCGATAAGTTATTGTTCATACCCCGTTTCATGCGACATGTTTGGATCCGACAAGTTTGGGTGCGACAAATTTGACCCAAAAATTTTGTGTGCGATAAGGTGGATGAGACAAGTTTAAGGTACGAGAAGGAGTAGGGTGCGACAAGTATTAGGGTGTGACAAGTTCCACAAGTGGGATGCGATAAACAGTTGGGTGCGACAAAAATTACCAATTTGTGTTTTTTGAGTTATTTTTTTTAGTATTTCTTTCGGTTGATCTACGATCAATTGATTATTAAGAACAATGTCATCTCGAGAGGCAATGGCTATTGGTTCGGACACAAAACCTCTTATCCTGTTAAGAGGGGATTATCCTCTATGGAAGGACAGATTTCTTGATTTTATCGACAAACAGAGACTTAGTCCTTTAATGAGAGAATCCTTGAGAGATGAACCAACCGTCTTCATGGACATCATACTAGCTACTCCTAATTCCAATATGCCAATCCTTGTACAACAACAAGTGCCGAGAGAGTATGCTTCCATGACAGATATGGAAAGGGCACGAGTTGATGTTGATAGGATGATAAGGTTCTACATTATGCAAGGTCTATCAAACGATATCTATACTAGTATAGGTAGTCACAAACAAAGTGGGAAAACCATGTGGGACCAGATAAAGAAGCAGATGATAGGAGCGTTATCGGTGCTTAAATCAAAGTGGCTAATTGTCTCAAAAGCTACGAGAACTTCAAGCAAAGAGAAGGTGAGATCCTTGAGTCTGTCTACGAGAGGTTTTGCAATCTATTGAATGAGCTTAGAAAGAAAGGGATACATAAGGCTCTAATAGAATACAAGTTGGTGACGGGAGCGTTAATAAAAGGCTTACCAGAGCTCAAGTTTCAGAAAGAACACTTGTGTGCTGCTTGCGAGATGGGGAAGATGAAGATAGCTTCTCACAAGTCCGTTGCAAAGCACCAAACTTCAAGACCGTTGCAGGGAGAGTCAAAAAAAGATCAACATGAGGAAGATCGATGATAGCTTGGCAGGGGCCAACGACAGTGATGGAGTTATTAAGAATCAATGACGGTGGGGAGACGACGGGTGCCGAGAGAAAGTGATGTCATCGGGTGAGAGGGGTTTGAATAGCGCAAAGTTTGAAAACAGTAAAATTAACATTTCAAATCGGGTTATAAGTAGTTTTTTTGTTTAAAAGGTGACCAATTTCCAAAAGTTCAATGGTTTATTTGTTTAAAAAATGTTCAGAAACTTGATCATTCAAAAAAAAGTCTAAACACTTGATCATTTAAAACAAGATAGTTTGTTGAGTTTTTCTTTTCTAAACTTTTTTTATTTAAAAGGGAAAATTGCACCAAAATGGAACCAACTTTCACCTGATTTCTATTTTGGGGAACCAACTTTCAAAATAGTTATTTTGGGGAACCAACTTGCATCTGATTCCTATTTTAGGAAACCAACTTGCAAAATAATTATAGAAAAATAACTAAAATTCATTTCTTTTCAAAAATTAATGCAATAAAATYTATTTTTCATTTCAAATCTCGTTTTTTAAATTCAGATATCAAATTGAAGATTTTTCGAAAAAAATCCAAATTACCACTATAAAAATTGTTTTTTACTAATGCAATAAAAAAATCAATTTAATAGAAAAAAATTAATTGATGCAATAAAAAATAAATATTAAATATCACATTCAAGATTTTTATATCTAACCAATCTGTGTCAATATTAAAGTTTAAATCAAATTTGACAAATCCAACCAAAAGTTTGATAGAGACCCTTAAATTATCTGTTACCTGTTCAACAGATCAATCAGACCCTTAAATAAACAAAAAGTTCGATAGAGACCCCTAAATGACGATTTTAAAAGTTGGTTCTCCAAAATATGAATCAAGTGAAAGTTGGTTCCATTTTGGTGTAATTTTCCCATTTTTCTATAATTATTTTGCAAGTTAGTTCCCCAAAATAGGAATTAGGTGCAAGTTGGTTCCCCAAAATGACGATTTTGAAAGTTGGTTCCCCAAAATAGGAATCAGGTCCAAGTTGGTTCCCCAAAATGACGATTTTGAAAGTTGGTTCCCCAAAATAGGAATCAGGTGAAAGTTGGTTCCCCAAAATGACGATTTTGAAAGTTAGTTCCCTAAAATAGGAATCATATAAAAGTTAATTTCATTTTAATACAATTTTCTCTATTTAAAACTCTTCAAATATGTAACAATTTTTTCACCCACCTACCTTATTCTTGTCGATACCTGGGTACCAGACTTAGGGCTGAAATAATAATTTGACCAAAAAAAGAGGACCCACAAATGCAAGTTGATCATATGCAGCAACACACAACAGTTGGAAGGCACAAGGAAATTGGAGCCCACATGTTTGGTCAAATTGACTCACCTTCTTGTTTCTTTGCTGATGCTAACCATCACCTGCTTGGACCCACCTCCACCACCATTGGATGAATGGATAATGCAACTTCTGGGCCCCACCACCATATTCTCCACACACAAACCTACCTTCTTGGGCATGCCCCCTGGCAGGATGCAATAGCCAATTAAAATCCATCTTCTTCCTTTTCCAACATCTACAATTTTACCCCCAAATTTCATACTACTAATTCCTTCCATCTACATTATATTTCATATCTTATCAAATTAAAATAACAAAAATTGAAAATCTTAACGAGTAAAAATGATAAGAATAATCAAAAGTCTTGCCCAATAAATGAAAAATAATAACTCTTACCAAATAAACACTGAACGAAAAAACTGTTGGTAAAGAGCTCAAAACTTACATAATATATATAACCAAAATAATATTTTAATTGATTTTGTCATATTTTGTTTTCTAGTTATTTTTTCGACATCTCGATCTCATTTCTTTGTGGATCAGGAAACACCAAAAAGGATCAAATTCATCAGAGGGAATAATTAGCCTTTGAAACTGATAACCACTAGCTATGTCTCATCTCTTTCAATCTAATTTTCTCATAAAAACAGTCTCAGAAGCTTTGTTTCGCTGCAAGCAGAACCTAATCCACTCTCCAGCGTCGTCGTCTCTGATGCATCCGACGGCGACACTGCTCGCCGCTTCTCCGTCGTCCTCCGATCACTATGTCGTCCACTTCTCATCTCATCGTCCAATCCGGATGAACTAAGTCCAAGGTTCAGATCCTGTGGCCTCAGTTTCGACACGTCGAAGTTAGAGTTGATAGCTTCTGATGTATCGTCGTTTTCCGGTGTAGATCCGACGGAAAATAGCTCCGGCATCGCACGGACGCTTCCGCCTCTGAGCACCGTCTCGACAGCTGACTGGCACACGTGCCAGTTCCCAGTCCATAGCAGTCCGACTGCTCCGTTCACCGGATTCACCGTCCGACCACAGGCTTCGAACAATAGAGACTGAAATAAAGCTAAACAAAACAGATCGATCAACAAAACAAACACGATCAGTCTGACGTAAAATCAAATTAATTCCTAGCTCCGAAATATAAAAGCATTATTCACCATTATATTTCGAAACGGATTGATTACACGATGATCGGTGAAAACTGATAGCGACGTATATATTTACCAGGCCGTTGCGACTCAGGAACAGAGGCGAGAAAGGACATAAGACCAGCACGGCCGAAGAACTTAGCGACGAAGACGGTGGCGTTAGCTTGAGCTTGAGGAGTACAGATCCCATGGAGACTATGTCTAAGAATGCAATTATCATTGCAACCTTTTCGGAGAACTCGGCAGCCATTACAACTCATGGTAGATCAATTTTGATCTCTCCTGCTCATATAACAACTTTATATTCTTCTTTTGAGAAGGATTACTGATGAAAAGTGGGGAAGAAGAACAAGTAGAAGATATGGGGGAGAGGGAAAGGGAGATTTATAGAGAGAGAGAGAGACTGGAAGTTTGGGAATTATTGGGTCGTTTGTTGGTGGATCAAAATTGATATAAATAAATCAATCAAATCTAATATTTTATATCCGCTGGATTTACACTATTTCATATAGTAATACATAAAAAAAAGAGGTAAGTTTTTATGTAATCATTTATATTTATACAATCAATACGATTTAATCTTAATCGTCTATTTAATTTGATATATAAGTGATTTTATAAAAGTTTTGATTGTTTCATAATATAAAGTATTGATCATAATTAATGAACTCTAGTCATCTTTCATAAATATTCAAATTATAATAAATAAACTTTCATCATTTCTATAAATATTTCAATTGATTGGTTGTACTGGTTGTACAAGTGGACATGATTCTATATATATATATATATATATATATGTGTGTGTGTGTGTGTGTGTGTTAGAATCCTCTAATCTTTCTAAGAGCTTTTTTAAACAGTAAATCGAGGGTTCTATATATTCTTACATTCTACCGATCTAGAGATTTATTTGTCACTCTAGACAATTTGTACTATGTGACAATATGTATATGTCTAACCTCTGTTAGGGGCTGTTTTTACCCAAATGCTTACTCGGTAAGCACTTACCAGTAGGAATCAACATTATAATTTATTTTTATCGGATAAGATTGTAATACATCAAAACGGTATTCTATGCAATAATTTACCCGGTAAGCGCTTACCTGGGTAAAAGTCATCACCATCACTTATCGGGTAAGATTCTTCATCTTTATTATCGCTCTTACCAAGTAAGATTCTTGGCCCTTGTCATGTTCATCTGATGAAAAAAATTGTTCGATAAACACTTATCGGATAAGCGTTTAGTAAACGGCCCCTTAGAGAAGATATTAGAATCTTCTTTTGTTGCTCAAGGCCTCTTTTGAAGAGTAAATGGAAGGATTCATATATTATCATAATAACATCATTTTTAAACAATAAAGAATATAAATTGATATTTAAACAAATAAACATTTATGTTGTTTTTATATTAAAAGATTAATAATATGTATTTATAAATTATAAACATTTTTGTTAACCTTAACAATATAATCATATAATTGTTTTGGGTAGCAAAATAGTTGGTGAGGTTGGGTTGGGTTGAGTTGGGTTTGAAAGTAACCATGGTTAAGTTGAGTGGGTGGTGGTGGTGGTGTTCCAATTTCCAAAGGTGTTGGGCAGGAGCGGCCCCGTGTCTCCGCGAGCATGGGTGGATGAGGGGTTTCGATTCCGTGTGACTGTTTTTGGATGCTTCGCCGCCCCCTTGTTTTTGGACATCGTATTCTACGTCCCTTTACTTCAACTTTCGGATAATTTCATTTAGATCCCTCAACTATTGTCTATTATAATATTTAACCTTGCTGTTTTTCAGAAATTACTGTACAGTCCTCCATAAATGGCGACGATGACACCGTATTTGCTTCTTTTAGTTCTTTATGGCAATAATCCTGAGTTTTTTCTTTTTTCAATTTCTTCATCTTAAATTTTAATCTATTTAATTATTCTTCCTAAATTTTGCCGTAACTGGTTATATCTTGATTTAATTTTTTCTTATTTCTAAACTTTAAAGGATTGTTTGTTAACTCTTAATAGTTCCATTAAAAGGCAACATTTGAATTGTTAAGAGGTGAATCTTGTTTGGCAAAAAAAAATCTGCCTCTTAATGGTTTTAAAACCCTTTGAGTGATTTTGTATCCTGGATACTCCTTAACCATTAAGAGCCTTAATTTCATTATATATAATTATATTTTATTTTGCATTATATCATAAGAGTCTCTTAATCATTCTGTACCAAACCATTAAGCAATTGTCAAACATCCCCTAAGTGAAGTTTGAAGGTTTGAAGACTCTAGATTTTGAATTCTTATTATGCTCATTAATGGCTAATCATATGAATCAGTCGTTCGGTAACCGTTTAATTTACGATTTAGTAAAGGTTTTTTATTCTCATTTTTGTCAAGATTGCAGATATTGAAGTTTGCTTGTGTTCATGAAACCATGAGTTTTTTTTTTTTCATTAACGAAACCATGAATCATGGAAGCATTCGTACAAACCATGAATTCATTTGTTTTTTTTTTTTTATTAACCTGGATATCCAACCCGCTATGCGAGCCGACTAATCACAAAGCGACCACCTGCTTTGCAGATAGCCCGAAGTCATCGCATTTGAACCTCTGTGGACACAAAGAGATTTTTATCTCTCCTTTGATTGAAATCATTTGTTTTTTCGTTCATAAAAAAATAAAATGATTGACCCTTGGACATCATGTAGAGATATGTTATTTTCTAGACAAGATTCCAGCTTTTCAACCTTCTTCGCTTGCCATGACTCACTATTTCACTTTCATTCTATTTATTTATTACACAATCATTTATTTTATCTATTTGATTTTAACTTCATCTCGTTATATTCTTATACAATACGAAATAATCAATAATTGGATGTATCGATCGACGATAAACAAAAACAAACGTAACTGATACACATAATGTCGAATCTTATCGATTACATATTCATCTGACTTTTGTTAATTATAAGTATTAAACGTTATTATGTTTTTGTCTGATTATAACTTTTCCGGTTACGTAATTGTTTTTACTTTGGATTAACTCAAGCAAACGTTAAATTTCTTGTTTTATATAAAAGACACGTTTGGATAATCATTAATTGGGTTTTCCAAGAAGATGGTCACAGCTGATTCATGTAAAATTTATAACTAAAAACGCCGGATTTGTTTTACATGTGTGTAGTTTGTAAAATTAAGTGACGGTCGAGGCAAGAAAGATTCATTACGTGGCAGATCGATCTACTTTTTATTTAATGGAAGTTTTAATATTTTATTTCATTAGAATTCAGTACTAAATTAGCTCTATGTGGTTATTATTATGGCCCAAAGAATCTTAAGGGGGTGTTTAAGATTGCTTATTTGAAACAATTTATGTTTTTTCACAAAAGTGTTTATCAACTTATTATAAGTTAGAATGATTTAACTTCTTCAAAAAAAAAAATTATAACCGGTTTGGCACCGATATAAGTTGTTTATCCAAATACTCAAAAGTGTTTATTACCGGTGCCACACCGGAATAAATCAATAAGTTGTTTTTATAAGCAATCCCGAACACCCCCTAAGTATACAAATTTCATATAATAAAACTTATTTATTTTGAAAAGTAATAATCCATACTACCTTATAAACAGATTTATCAAAAGTCTTAAAAACAATTTTTAAAAAACAACTAATAATGCATTAAGTACTACTACCAATGCACATTATTATTTTTTCTTTTCATGTTCCTAAGATACTTTTGACATTTTTCTCTCATATTTTCACTCTTTCATACCTCTATGTTTTCTCCCCCATCCCCTAAGGTGAGATTCAAAATAATATTCACCACGAGTTATTAAAAGTTCTCTCATTAATCTCCCATTCAATTGCTTAAGACTTTCGGTCTCGATCCCTTCTCTTGATTTTTTTGCTCTTGGTGTAAATCGAATAAATTTGTAGAGTCGTTTAAATATGTTGGATTTTAAATATATTGGATTTTAAACTATCGTACAATTTTTTTCATCGATAGACTGTAATTGGAACCATAACTCTTATTTATTTAAATTGTATTAATATGTAAAGACCAATTGTAACTTATATCATCATTAAATCTTTTCTAATAAAACCAATGAAACTTCAAAATCGTTAAAATTCACGGCTCCCACCGTATTACACGGATACACAACTAGTTTTGAATAAATATGGAGTATATGTTTAAAAAAGAAATTCCAATATTAAATATTGTGAATAAATGTATGTGGGGTTTAAATGTTTGTCTGTTCATTAATTTTAATTGGTATATTTCTCTGTCCCAAAGTTATGGGCTCTTGATATTCCATCACAAATAAATATATTTTCCAATCACGAATTAAATTAAATATAAAAAGGGAAACCATCATAACTTCAATAATTTTTGGCACCTCAATTTCCTTTTCCTTTCCATCACTTTTCACTCTCTCTCTCTCACACATCAAATAACAAAAACAAGAATGAGTTAAAAGGTGAGAAGCAAAGTATTGATGGGTTGGGTTGAATACATTTGAATAATTCAGTATAATTTTTTTGCGGTTTGAAAAATCTCAAATCAACCCAATCCAAACCGGACAGCTTGGTCGTGTTGATATTTTAATATATTAAATATTCTTTTAACCTTGAATATTTTGTTTTCTTTACTTGTAATTTCTTTCTCATTATCAACCATCTGGTACAATTTATACATACTTTTTAAATCTTAAGTATATCAATTCAATTAATATTCTCAATATACATATATATGTTTACAATTACTGGACATATATACGAAAGAGTTATATAAAGATGAAGAATAGATTGAATATATATATGGATGGTTGAATGACCGAACTACCCCCACCTTCACAAACATAGTTTGCAACCATGTCGTTATATCAAAACTCGTGTATTCTCGATTTATGACTGAGAGGTGTACCTATGGTTTCCACAAATTTTGGAATTCCTACTAGAGCACTACCCTGTATATAGATACACTCAATATATGGGTTCTTTCACATGTATTATGTAAATGTTACTTTATCTTATGTAAATGTTACAATTCTAAAAAAAAATGACATTTCTCATGGGAACCCAAGCCATATACACACATACACATACTTACAAACACACACACACACATATATATATACATATATATATATATATAGGTTCAAACGAGAACCCATATGATTTATGAGAACGTGAGAACAAACCAATAACCTCAAACATTTTAATTTAATAAATTAACTTATATTAAATATAAATAAATTAATAAGGGCAGTAATGTAATTAAGTAATTTTTATAATTTTTATTTTATTTTAATTAATTATAATTATCCTTTTTTTTTCTTATCACGTTCGTTTCCACTCTCTTCTCTTCCCTTGTGATAATTGTGTGATTGTGTAACCATAACCTATCGAAACCATGATCAATCGAGTGTAACCATAACCTATCGAAACCATAAGTAATCGTTGTGATAAATGTGTGATTGTCTAGCCCTAACCGATCGAAACCATGATAAAATTGAGTGCAAATGATGTTATAATATTGATATCACATGATTACCACACCCATATCACACTAAATCGTTTAGTGGATTTCGTCCGTAATCGTTGTGATAAATGTGTGATTGTCTAATCTTAACTTATCGAAACCATGAGTAATCGTTGTGATAAATGTGTGATTGTCTAATCCTAACCTATCGAAACCATTAGTAATCGTTGTGATAAATGTGTGATTGTCTAACCCTAACCGATCGAAACCATAATCAAATCGAGTGCGCTGTTATGATAGTGATATCACATGATTATCACACTCATATCACACCAAATCGGTAGTCGATTTCCTAAGTTAACCCTAGCCGAGAGGAATCCTTGTGATAATTATGTGATAATAACATGATTATCATACCCATATCACACCCAAATCGTGTTGAAATAAGTGATAACCATAATAACTCATTATGTTATCCAGATTATTGGGTTTAGAGTGATCGTGTTTTTAAGATTTTATCACTTTGAATTTCAATATTACCCTTTTGCCTCTCAATTTTTTTTGAATTGTTTTAATTTCATTTTCAATTTAAAAATCTTTTAATTTTTATCGTTATCACAATATAAGGTTAACAGTTTATTCTTGCGTTTTCCCAATTCACAGGAGTTCTCATTTGAACCCTTCCCTATATATATCGCGTTCAAATAAAAACCACCTAATTTGTACAAACCGTGAAAACCACATTCAACCAATCATAATTTTTCATTTTGTTCATTTTTTTGTAATTATGAGAGGTTGATTAACCATTTTTATTGTGGATGGTGTTAATCA